CCACTATTCGGGCCGCAACTAATAACTTCTGTGATGAAAATAAACTTGGACAAGGAGGATTTGGCGCAGTTTACAAGGTAATGATGTAATGAATAGAAAAGAACATTAATTATAGTACACCTTGGTGTATTTTGAATTAAATTGAAATTTGGTATTCATTGAACTTAAATTTAGTCAGTACCACTCTATTTTATACATAGGGCAAGCTTTCAAAAGGACAAGAAGTAGACGCGAAAAGCTTATCTAGTGTTTCTAGACAAGGAGACTTAGAATTCAAAAATGAGGTTCTTTTAGTGGCCAAACTTCAACATCGGAATTTGGTCAGACTCCTAGGCTTCTGCTTGGAAAGAGATGAAAGACTTCTCATCTACGAGTTTGTGCCAAGTACAAGCCTTGATCATTTCATTTTTGGGTTGTGCATGCGTTTTAGATTTTGCTCTTGATTCAGATTTCAATTCTACTCATAAATAATTATATATGAGTTTGCATGTTTGAGGGGGTTACACATTTATGTTCTAGTTATTTGCAAAGCCCTTAACTCTTTAAATTCATATCCTAGTTATTGGTCCTTTTTTTTGTGTTAGTGACATACTCTCATATGAACTATATATGAACATATAGATCCAATCAAGCATGCACAACTAGATTGGGAAATCCGTTACAAAATCATCAAAGGCGTAGCTCATGGCCTCCTTTATCTACATGAGGATTCTCATTTTCGAATAATTCATCGTGATTTATTAGATGGAGATATGAATCCTAAAATCACAGATTTTGGCATGGCAATATTAGTTGTAAGGGATGAAACACAAGGCAATACTAGTAGAATTGTGGGAACTCTGTAAGTATTAGAGTAAAACTTTGAATTGTTTCTTGTACAAATAAATGTCCAATGAGCTCTATTCCTTATTGACAACATGAAACACTACAACCAGATGCATCTATACTGACAAAAGTTTTTCGTCTGTATACACCCTTTTTCCGTCTGTATACACCCCCTAGGATTATTCCGACGGAAGTCCTTCCAGTCGGTGCAAACCTCGTCAGTATAGGGTCTATACCAACGCCCAATCCGTCTGTATAGACCCTTGGGATCTATTTTGATGGAAGATTTGTCCGTTGGTATAGACACTAAGAAATCTTAAAAATTTTTCCGTCTGTATAGACCTATACATTTACTGATGGCTAATTTCGTTGGTATAGACCTTAAAAATTTTTTAAAAAAATTTACTGTGGGTATAGGCCTTTATCTTTACAGACTAGCTGTATTCTGATATGGTTAACCCAAAAAAAAAAAAAAATCTATGTTTTGATGCGTGTAATGCATGCCTAAACCTAACATTACTTTGACTAACTTATTGAAAATGAAGCTGGATACTAATCAGCTGGGTGGATGCAAAAGATGTAGATCTAAAAAATTTGATAACTAATTTTAAGCTAACAAGTATATGCCAATCATCAAAGTGAATAAAGAAAATTCTATGTTACTTATATTAGCTCCAAGACATTTAAAAAAGAAGAAGAAAAAGAAAAGATCAACAAAACTTATTATTCAACTAGCTATGACTATCACACTTAGAAAATACCCAAACAATTCTTTTACCATCCACCCTATCATAAAGTACAAGCTTCTTACCCTGCAGTTCTTCCATGGAGGATGCCATACACGACGTGGCCATTTGCTTGGAACTCTTTCAATTATTGCAGAGGTTGTTAGCCTGTTAAATAACAGATAACAGAAAATCTCAAGATAGAATTCTATGTTTCCAGATATAATTACCATGGAATAACAGAGCAGGTACTAGAAAGCTCCACTAATACCCAATCAATTATAAAGTAGGCAACAAGGCCAAAGCATAAACGCATAATGTAGATTTTGAAAAACCATAGATATGCCTGAATACTATTAAGTAAAAAAAATATAAAGATGAAAGGTATTTATCTCAACGGGGAATAGGCTAACATAAGGAAGATTAATTTAGCACACCAAAGTACATAAGCAACTAAGTAGGACTTACAATAGAAGAACATGTCATAATTTTATAATAGCATCATGAAGACAGAAAAGGCATGTGAAAGAGATTTAAAACCTTTTAGAAAACCCAAGTGCAGAAACAAGTGAAGTGCTTTTGCCTGTGTTACCAACTTCACTTCTGGAAAACAAAAATGGAGACACAGTTAGTACAACTCTGTCTTAAAGATAGAACTCCCTGCATATGGCTTGAAAGAAAGTGGAACATATAGGGACCCTACTTGCCACTGGAGTTTACTATTGTTTAATATTATCCGCCTCAACTCTAATTACAGCATCCCATTTTTTGAATTTAGACTCTCACCAAGATAAGTCTAGTCTATTCTTTTTGTCCACATGCATCCACCCATGAATTTTCACAGATGAAGCTAACCATATACAAGATTGCATTCTTTTACTGTTGAAGTCAAAACTCATCTCCCTATTTCTTAAGAAATATGGGAACTGGAACCAGAAAAGAATTATAAATTTGACATCGATAACTTACGATCCTTTTAGTTGCAGAGATAACCACATAAAAGTTGGGACCTTCCCTAAGCAGCAAACCCTCCATTTCTTGTCAGATCCCTTCACCTTAAAGAGTATATCATCTTGCCAAGATGTATTCTCCTCTAATTGACTTGCAAAAGAAGTAGATTCACTCATGCAGTTTTTAAGTTGTTCCTACGACATTTAACACAAAAATGATTTTTTTTATATGATGAAGAAAGGTATACATCATTAAAAATGCAGATTTTATTTCTTACCTTTTATAATACAATTTCCCTTCTCATGTCTTAGCTAAACTAAAATGGACCAATCAGATGGGCTATAATGGCATCTGCACATACGTCCAGAGTTAGAAGGATGTTGTTATGTGCTTTTAAAGCTTCCTATGATATTAGAAGTGGCAGTAAGAATACAAGAAAGCTATACAAATTGCAGAAGATTTATGATTAACCATAGATCTTGCCTTGTGCATACGGACAACTTGCAGTGTGTCTTCCAATATCTTCTCATGGTATTCCAACTCGCACGATGATTTGATGCAGCTAGGACTTTTTACAAAGTACCTTCAAAAGGATATTTACATTAGGACAAGTTTAAGATTGTAATATCAGGAAAACTTATTATTCTGATATGGAAGTATATATAAGTCCATACTATAGTTCCCTCTCCACATCGTGCAACTGGGAATTGCAAATAAGGATTTGGTTCTGAACATCCTACATTGAAGAAAGCGATCAATTTCTACTCTATGACTATTAAAAAATAATTAATAGAAAATTAAGATAATATTAATATCAGCTTTATATACCTCCAATTTAGAATCAGCACTCACAATTCCAATGGTTCGACCACAACTGCTAACCAGGATCAACAAAGGAAAGCAAAATTACAAGGCCAAATCAATCACCTAACCAAAACTCACAATAATTTAACAGAATACTCTAGTGAGACAGCAGAACATACCCTGAGGAAGTTGTGTTATGATGGTAGACACTAGCTTCCAAGTTCAGCTGAGAAATGATCTGCCTTAACTACGAGTAATCACATACATTTGTCACATTAAGACAACAATGATATGCAATCAATGACTAGCAACAAAATTGTTTGGATTAAGAAGAAATGCGTACCTCTTGATTTGGTAGGCTTTCCAATTGGATGACAAGTGGACAGATTAAAAGTTGGCATATGGAAAGACACATAGAGAATTGTATCAATGTAAAAATTCCAAGATTTCTCCATACTCTTTGATCTCTCATAAAATTCTCTTTTACAATTTCATTTCATATATAGCTCATTCTTAACACAACAGATATGTACCAAAAAAACACCCCATGGATCACGACATTGTCCTACCATTCCAGTTTTCAATTTCATTTAAAAAATCATATATATAGCTAAATTTCCAATTAACATAATCCATTTTATCAAAATTCACATACCATTAGTGCTTCTTTGCAGGGATTTGGATAAAATGTGACAGAACCTCTTCTACCCTAGAAAACACACAATACCAAATGGGCCTATTAGCAACAACAATCAATCAAAGGCATGAAATTCAACAAAATTATTCACCAGTGCATCAAAATCTAAACAAATTAAGTTAAACCTTTTCTTTCCCTCAAAAAGAGTGAGTTTTTTGGCCGGGGAACAAATGATTAGAGCAACCTCCACATCACATAGAGTTGAAAGTTGATAGGCTTTCTTGACAAGGCTACTTCTCCTTTTGGCAAAGCTTATGTGTTTGTATGCTTTGTTCTCAATTTTCTTCAACTGCAACATGACCCTAACCATTTTCTTCTCTTTTCTGCCTTAGTATAACCTTGGGTTTTAACCCTTCATAGAACTCAATCACTCTTTAGAAAATAAGGCACTTTTATAAAATGC